AGAAGCTGTGGTACAGTTATACAATGGAATAACTCAGTCATAAGAAGAGATGAAATAGTGTCATTTGCATCATCGTGGATGGACCTTAAGATAATCATGCTAAGCGAAATAAGCCAGACAGAAAAAGTTGAAAATGACATGATATCACTTATATGTAGAATATAAACCTAAAAGCAACAAATGAGCAGGACAAACAAACAGAGTCTCATGGACATGGACTATAGGCTAGTGGTTACCAGAGGACTACAGACTAGTGGTTACTAATGGGGTGGGGGAGGTGGGGGTAGGTAGACAGGATAAAGGGAGTCAAATATAGGGGGGTAGGGGGAAAGTGAAGTGGGTAAAGAGGATTGAATATATGAAGGAAACTGGACTTTGGGTGGTAAACAATAGAATACACAGATGTCAAATGATAATGTACATCTGAAAATTGTATAATTGTATTAACCAATGTTACCCCAATAAACTCAATAAAAATAAAAAAATTTAAAAAATCATGTAAAAAGTAATTATAATCCTAAATTTATTGCAAAAAAAAAATCTGTGTACATACTTATGCAAATACATAGATACCTTCACACAATGTAAATAGAAAATACACGCAAAAAGCGATTGGCTCTGAGTGATTGAATTATAGGCGATTTTTATTTATAGGGATTTTTTCAGAGTTTTCTTTATTTTCCAACTTTCTACAATAGCCAAATACTTATTAATTTAATTTTGAAAAATCTACTTTTTTAGGGGGTTATCGATCACCCCTATGTAGTCCGTTGTATAATACCCAGAAAATGTATTTAGTTAGCTGTCAGTGTACCAGGAAGGTGAGCACCAACTTCAGTTATTCCTCAGTACAGCTGTTAATGATTCTGTCTCTCCTTGTTGAGCTATTATTCCAATTCTTCTCAGTGATTATTTCAAGGATCTTCACTTAGCTCTTAAGTTTCCCAGGAAGAGCCCCTTCCTCCTACCTCATGATGAAAATTGAGACTATCATGTATAGGATAACTTCAAAAATCTACAAAAGTCCATCGATACCCATTCTCACCTCCTTCCTATCAGTGTCAGAATATGAGCTGTCCTACTATTCGAGGACAACCTCTGAAACCTCAAGCTTTTGAGGTTCATGCCATTAGAAGGTACGCTTGGTACCTTTCTCAGTGTTCTTTCCTCCCACCTTTTGGTTACTGCCACTCAATCATTTATACTGTTAATCTTTTCGTCACTGTCCTCCTTTCTATCCCCGCTTCTGTCAACACTAGGTTGACTGCAACATCCATATGGATGAGCCATCTACACCTCGGCCTCTGAGTTCTTCAACTTCAGCTTCAGTGACTTGCTCCTCCTCCTTCCAGCCACTGACTCTCATGGTCATGGCCCTGCTTCTGTCGTTACCTCTGAAATCTCAACCGGAAGCATCCGCTTTCTGACCACCATCTCCTAGCCTTCTGGCAAACCTGGTTTAGGCTTCCTCTGCCTCCTGTAGTCATTGTTCAGGCCTATCAGACACCTTGCTCCTCATTCGCTTCTCTAGCAGGCAGCCTACTGCAGTCCAGATTCTGCTCTGCCGCTCCACTACAACTGTTCTCACCAAGGCTACTAAGAGCCCTCTAAATGCCACATCTCAGTCCTTGTTGCCTCCTATTCATCCCTTGGAGACTCAGTGCAAGCATCACATCCTGCAGGGAGCCTCTCAAGACTCACCCAGACTGAGTAAGCTCATTTCCTCTGTCTTCCCACAGCATGTTGGGCATCTCTCTATCAATGGGTGCTTACCACATCAAGAATAAGGCAAACCATCATATTACATACAAATTCTGTGAGAGCAGGGACTGTGTCTTAGTCATTTTTATGTCATCAATACCTTGTACAAAACTGATACAGAGGAACTCATTAAACACATGTTGAATACTGTAAGAATGACTATATAAACCATTAGTACTTTATCTACAAATCTGTGATATCCACTTCATCAGAGAAAGTGACCTGTAAAACCCTGATTATTCCTCCATTGCTAGAGCTAGGAACACAACAAAGCTAGTTTTGTACGTTGTGGCCAGCCAGAGTTGGGACTGCAGAAACCTGAATTCATGAATATTGAAGAAATCATAAAATCTAGGTCCCGTTTGTACATGAAGCTAGAGATAGCCCGGGACAGACTAACCCTTGACATCATGTGGAAAATGTATCATACCCTCGTCAACTAAACCCTTAACAGATCGTGGTAGGCTAGATGAGGGCCCTCTAAAGATGTCCCCTTCCTTACCCTCAGAATCTGTGAATGTTATCTATATGGCAAAGGGACCTTGCAGGTGTGATTACGAATTTCGAAGTTGAGAGAAAGATTATTCTGATCATCTGAGTGTGCCTTAAATGTAATCACAAGGGTCTTTAAAAGAGAGAAACAAGGTCAAAGGTGAGAGGAGATAGGAGGACAGAACTGGAGGTTGGAGTGATGTGCTTTGAAGACGAAGGTAGAGGCCATGAGCCAAGGGATTCAGGTGGCCTCTAAAAGCAAAACAGGCAAGAAAATAGATTCTCCCGTAGAGTTCTAGAAGGAACCAGTCCTGACAACATCTTGACTTTAGCAAAACTGATTTTGGACTTACGATCTCCAGAACTTTAAGATAATAAATTTGTGTTACTTGAAACCAAGTTTGTGCTGATCTGTTAAAATAGTCATAGGAAACTAATACAGATATGAAAGGACTTTCCTGGATGAAATACTGAGAGTGGCCAAGAATCAGCTTGTCATAGAGATGTAACTACCAGAGATCCTGGCCCCTGATAAGAAAAAGTTCTTGCCACTGTCAGAGACAGTGACGACTGTTGCAGAAAAATGGAGAAGGGATAAAAAGTTAGTGGATGAGTGAACAGGAAGCCTGCTCCGCTGTCCTGCCCATTCCTCCTTCTCAGAGATACATCTGATCCAACTCATGGCAAATAACGACTGGAAATTCCACCAGTTCCTTCTGTTGCCCTCACCAAAGAAGTTTTCAGTTGCTCACTGAAGTACAATAGCCCTTTAGGCTGGGAATCTGTTTGTTCACTACTACCTGTCCTACCAATGGAGCAGGTGTATAATCTGCCACCCCACCCCGCCCTTTTTTTTTCCCCCCGACCCCAACCCAGGCCCCAGAAACAAGTCCACTCACAGCCAGCTGGTTCTGCAGCTGTCTGACCTGCTGCTGCAGCACTTCCAGCTGCTGACTCTGCCTCTTGGAGGAGCTCGCCGAGTAGGAGAGCTGCGAGAGGCTGTTCAGGGCCTCCTTCAGCTTGGTGACTTCCTTCGACATCTCATTTATCTAGAGAGAAAGGGAAACCATATCAATAGGCAAGAACGTACCTGCAGAAGCAAAAGTCCGGGTATCTCTAAGCTTTGAACATGGCTTCTATTGGCCTCTGAGACTGGAGACTTTGGAACAATTCCTTTTTTATATTTTAGGAAAACCCAGATAAACCAACAAAGCCTTCTAAGGCCACTATACTCAAACAAGGACCCCAGATTAAACATTGTGTTTTGATGCATGAAGGTAACAGAAGCTATGACACTGATTTCCCTTTTCACCCTTAAAAGAGGGTACTGTTGAAAGAATGAATCAGAAATGAGATTTTAGGCATTCTTTTTAAGAGACAGCTATATCTTATATCTTATTCAACATTGTTGACATAGGCAATTGGAATAAATTCTAGGAATCCTGACATCTCTGGACATTTTGCTTTTAAAGTAAACACAACTCCTCCCTCCACTTCCCAAAGCCCTGCCCCTTTGGCTTCGGAAGCTCTTTTGAAAGATTCATCATAATAAAGGATAGATAATGCTCTGGTTGATGCCGTTCAGAACATATGACCCAGGGGACCTGGAAGCAGAGCAGATTTGGGCAGAGAACTATTCCCCACTCCCCTTAGCCTTCCCCCTTCCTCTACGCCACACCCAGCCCACCTCTAATCACCAGCAGCCCACATTCCTCCCTTCCCCTCCTATACACCTTTGAAAACGAGGGCCAAGGAGAGCAGTTTTTGTACTGACTCAAGGAAAAGCTCATGGAGCTTAGGGAAGCAGATTAAGTCTGGGAGTACTTGGGTTTACATATGACGGAGGAATCTGTCTGGCTTCCAAAAGAGCTGAAGTTCAAGATTGTCCACAAAAACTTTTCACTCTGTGGGTTCCCTTCTGATCCCTGACACTGGGCAGGCTTCTGTGAAATAATTTTTAAAGGAAAAATATGCACAACATATGTGAAAATGCTTGAGGATAAGGGAAATGGTAGATCAGCGTTGTGTTTTGTTTTTAAATAAATGTCCAACCTATATTCTACTGTGGCTTTGGGGACAGATGGAGTCATGCATAGAGCTTCTGAGCATTCACGACAGGTTAGTGCCAACGAACGCTAAAAATACTAACTATACTGAAGGTTGAAAGGCCTGGGGCTTACTAGCTAGAAAATCAGCAGCTACAGAATCTCACCAACCTTCTTGTCTTTATCCTCCTCCAGTTTTGAAGAGCTCTCTGAACATCTCTTCATCTCTGCCAGGTCTTCCTGAGCGTGCTGGAATTTTTGCACAAGTTCATTTACTTCTTGCTCTTTGGATTTCAAGAGAGTCTGAACAGTTTCCCTTTCCCTTTTCATTTGCGAGGCTTCACTTCTAATTTGGGCAACCTCTGAATAGGCCTTCTCTTTCTCTTTTACGGAATCCTTTAATTTCGATGCCAACACACTCACTTCACTTTCTAAAGCCGACTGGAGCTTTTCATAGGCAGACCTGGGCACCATCGCCTCGGTCATTGCAGCCTTCTCTTCAACAAGCTGTTTCTCTAGTTTGGCCACTTCTACTTCCTTGCTGGCAAGGTGCTCTTTAAGACCGCTGATTTTTTCCTCCAACTCTTTGGTAGTCGTCCGCAGCGTGGTTATCACCTGCAAATGTTCTGTGATGGAGACAGAGTTCTCTTTCTGGGCATCTACCAGTTGCTTCAGGTGAGTCAACTCATTTAACACTTTGGAGTACTGAGACTTCATTTCGGACAGTGCCTCTTCTGCCTTAGCCCTGGATACATTGGTCACTTGCATCAGTTTTTCATGCTCTGCTTTATGGATATATTCAGCGGTTATGTCTTCTAGAGATTTCCTCTTCCTATAATCCTCCAGCTCAGCCTGGGCTTCTTTGTACAGCTGGGACAGCTCGCTCACCTGTTTGTTGAGTTCATCTATCATCCTGTTCATGGCCTCTTTCATGTCCCCAGCTTCATCACCAGCCTCCTGTGTCATCTGACTTTTTAGTGTATCTTTTAATTTCATGATTTCTTCTTGGGCTTCTTGGTATTTCTCGAACAAAAACGCTTTCTCCTTATTCATATTCTCAATAACAGAGCAATACGAACTTTTCATTTCCTCATACTCTTCCACAGGTGGCTTGATTACCACGCCAGTCTCCCTCTCTACAAGTTTTTCCTCTAACTCTCTCACTTTCTCTTTATTCCTTTCACTTTCTTCTAATGCATTCTGGAGATCCCGCTTGAGCACACCTACTTCCTCCTCAGTGATCCTGAGCTCACGGAGATGTGAATAACTATCCATGCTCTCAGGTGATACGAGGCCCAGTTTCATCTGCTTCTGCACACTAAGGACTTCTTTCATGGCCTCCTCATACTTGCTCTGAGTTTCTTTAAGCTTCTGGCTGAGGTCGGAGCCGTTCTCAGAAATCTCGGCGTTGTTTAATAAGCACAGCGACTCTGTCCTCCTGGACTGGAGCTCGGCCTGCAGCTGTTTCTTCTCTGCTTCAGAGCTCTCCAATCTCCTCTGCACATCTTGCAAAATCTCTTGTAGTTGCTGAATTCTGACATCGCCGTCGATAGTGGATTTACCCACGGAATGTGATAAGACAGATGGTGAGGACTTGGAGTCTGGGGGAGAGGTTTCGCTCGGTCTGCCCAGCGGCGGGGCCAAGTCAGTGTGAGTAGAGTGGTAAGAGTCGAAGCTCAGGTCAGCTTCTGCCTCCCTGGGTGTTTTGGCCTGGGACAAAGGCAAGAATGAATGGCACCAAAGGTGCGGTTAGGTGAGCATGCAACTGGAACGCGAACAAATCCAAACCCTACGTGTGGGGGAGCAGTGTGATCATTTTGCACAGGTACTTCTGCCTCACGAAAAAATGTGGTCTGGCCCATGAGAATCGGATTAACGACACTGAGCCTATTCTGTTCTCTATTTGAACAGATTTTTTTGTGCCACTTAAAAAAACACTAGATTTGTTTTGGCCGTAAAGACTCTGACTCAAATTTCTCCTTTATTTCTCATATTATTCTAGTTGCCGAGAGGGACAATGGGCTTAATATAGCTATTTGTTTTCAATTTCTTAAATTTTCTAAATGATCGACTTTACTAAATGAATGGCTAATCACATCTATAAATGTACATACACATATAATTTGTCATATTACATACATATACTATGTATATAATTATATATAATTTACCAATTTATCAACTTACAGAAATAGGGCTAACAAATAACTCTCAAGAAACAAATAATGTGAAACTACAAAATGCTTAAGGCTAACTATATTAAAAAAGAAGAAGAAACTAATGTAGATGTTTAAAACAAAATATCATCTGACTAACCCTGGAAAACCCAGTAGCTCGACTCTACAGAATAGTCCGTGGTAGCAATCTATTTACCTACCTGTAATTTATCTTGTAATTCCTTATTGTGTAAGGTAAGAGAAGCAACTTTTGCTTGCAATAGGACAAGAATATCCTGTTGGTCAGCTTCAGAACTTATATCCAATAAACTATCAGCACCTTGGAAAAGAGAAAGGCAATTTAAAATAATACTCAAAAATCAGACTGTTTCTCTGACCTCTTAACAAATTCCCTTTCTGCTGGATCCAGTTCTTCTTCCTAGTCCTGACTGTGAATGAAAGCCCCCACCAGGTGGATAAATGAACAGCAACTCTCAGGTGCTGGGTTTCCTTACCGGGATATTCATTCCTAGAACAAATCTAGATGCCTAGATGCGCAGAAGCTCATCTGAAAAATGATGGATTTGGTCATACATTTTTCATTCACTTGATTAAGTGTCATACCTTGGTTATTATTATTTTTTATTCCTCTTATGCCTAATAAGTCCCATTCTGTGAATCCTTATTAGAAATATCTCCAGAATTTGGTTCGCTTCTTACCCCCACCACCATTACACTAGTTCAAACTTTATCCCCAAACTGCAAAAGGCTTCCTAACAAATCTCTATCTCTCTCCTCTCCCTAGTAAAAATGTAGCCTACACACCACTGTCAGACTAATCTTCCTGAAACATGCTTGGATAGAGTCATTTCTTTGGTTCAAGTACTTCAATTGCTCTCTCTCCAAAAACATTCTCCAAATTTCTTTATCTGGATTAAGGCCTCTATGATCTGGCCCTAATCCACTGTTTCAGGTTTATGACTCATGAGGTCTTTCTCTAGTATCCATATTCCTCAGATTCAGTGTGTCCATCAGACCCTCTATAGTCTCAACACAAAGCTGCATCTTTAATTCTTCACCGTACGACTGCCCTCACAGCATTTCTTTGGCTACCTAACTCGTAGGCATCTTTCAAGACCCACATCAAACTTGGCCTCCTCCAGATAGCATTTGCTGACCACTCTGGTATACAATGGTCTGCTCTGAACCCCACTGTAAACACTGTTGGTAAACCACAACTTTTTGACATCCTACTGAATATCGTGCTGAAATAGCATCCAAAGCAATGCTACTCAAAGTGTTCACTGATCGAGACAAGAAACTTGCTCCAGAATGTATTTCATAGTACTGCTTCCTTCCTCCAGAAAGTCTTCCTATGGAAAAAAAAAACATTATCTGGACAAAGCCATGTGCTTAGTGACACAGCAGGATGACCTTCTGGTACAAGCTCCTTACTAACAACAGTTTACAGACTGCATTCTGAAAAGAACTGATCTAAATTTTATTTTCTCACAGCCATTTCATACAAAAATGAAAGCTCTAATCTTAACTTGGAAGGATGCAAAATGACATTTCTTCATAGAAACGCTTTCTCCTGATGTCTTGTGCCTAAGCTACAGCTTTATGACATTAATTTGTGAGAGTACGGAATCTATCAGGTGATTGGGAGCATGACTGTCATTGCACCAGAAATTACTTCTAAGGTACAATGGATGGATTTTTAAGTAGTCAATGTAACAACTGTCCAGTTATGTTAACACCAATCTTTGCCAGAATTAGAAAGTTTAATATTTCTAAAGTCTCTAAGTTAAAGACTCCAAACACATGTGAAATGCTAAGACCGAGAAACTGAACTGAACCTTTGAAATAATCTACTCTGCAGTTTAAATTGATTCTTAGAGGGCAAATCCGCAGGCTGGACTCTTAATACAAGGACTTAAACCCTGTCTTGGCGAAGACAACCCGATGGTGTGTGATTTCGTTAATACTCTATCTTTACATATGTCTATTTACATGCCAAAGTAGAAAAGTTAGATTGTGGCAGTCAGGGGGGTGCTCAGTCAGCTCTTCCTTCAGGAAGCAAGCTGCTGTTCACCTTGAAGGACTGCTGCCAGCTGAACACCTGACAACCTGGGGACCCCGTCTCAAAATAGTGTTTTTAAATGCATATGATAGAATATACAGGCTACAGTCATTTAAGAACTTATTTTGTAAGAGAACAAATAACAAGATCTGGCAACAGGTCTAATGACCGCCATAACGTCTAGTAGAAATAGCGTAAATGATATTTCAGGATATCTGCAATAACGGTAAGGTGATATGACATTACCTGTGAATTCTCTTGGTGTCAAAGTCACCGATCCGCTTATACCACGGGGTTTTATTGCCTATATTCATAACTGAATGAAGTGCTAACAGTTAGTGAGGGACAACGAAAACAGAGATATATTTTTTCACATCCAGGCTCTGAGACTCCTTCAAATCCAGGTGATGGCCCTTGAAGTGCAGAGAGCGTCAGCCTGTGTGGGACTGGAAGCTCTGGGGCAGCACGCCAGGGCTCTCTGGCCTCCCTACACAGGGTGGCCCCGTTTGGCCTTTGTTCTCTCTAAGTGGACCTAGAGTAGAGACCGTTCAAAGGAACAAAAGCGAATGCCCTTTCATCTTACCTGCCGTGCTGTCACTCTGTCTGTCTTTGTTTTCCCGTATAGAACTGATCTCAGCCTGCCGGAACACAAAGATGACTTAACAGAATATTCCTGAATGTAACATTTCACAAAAGAATCAAGCAAATTGTCCTCCTCTCTGTTATCTTACTAGAAAAACAGTTACAAAATCTCAAGGAAAGAAGATGTTTTAAAATATAAGTGAATAAAAGTGACAATTATCTGCTAAAGTATAATTTCTAAAACGTTAGACATTCCAGAGGGTATATACACTCATGATATTTTTCAGACATTTCATTTAGTAAGTATAATACAAATTTCTTTTAAGATGATAATAATGTTATGTAATAGCTAATTTAGGGGCTATGTCTTAAAACTTGAGATGGCAAATATTACTTTCATAATGAAGTGTTAAATAGAAGTTTTACCTAACTGAGTAATATATTGATTAAAATAAATGAGAAGTACTTTTAGATTTATCATTTTATAAGTTAACTGCTATTAATAATTATTTGTATTTCTAAGAGAAATGGTAGTTAAGAAGACCTGTCAGAGAAGATAAAGGTAGTTTGATAAGAGAATAAAAATTCTTTTGGTCTTGGATTGAAAATCTGAAGATTTCCTCTAAACTTTTGTCCCTAAATATCTGCTAATATATTGTGAAATTTCTTGTAACTTCAAAAGGAAATACAGTCACTGGCCAGAAATTGCTATATTTCGTCTAGATGAGCCACAAACCATGATAAGGGAGATAATTTTTCAGCAAAGGAACGTTTGTAAAGGCCCAGAGGCTAAAAATAAAGTGGCTCATTTTTGGCAAGTGCTTATCTTTACAAAAAGCTGTATTTTCACTTTTAAAAATATATGTTTACTTTTATTTTTCAGCTGTATTAAGGTATAATAAACAGCATCCATATAAAGTTTACAATTTGAGGAGTTCTGACAGATCTATGTCCATGGACCCATCACTATAATATTTCCGTTGCCACTAAAAGTTTCCTTGCGCCTCATCATAGCCCATCCCTGTCTGCCCTAGTCCCAGGCAACCACTATTCTTTCTTTTTTGCATTTTCTAGAATTCATACAAATGGAATGTCATAGTGCACGAATTTCTTTGTGTCTGGCTTCTTTCACTCAGCACGATGATTTTCAGACTCATCTATCATGCTGCTTTATCCATTATTTGGACAAATCTTGTTATCTTTATCCATTCACTTCTTGAAGGACATTTGCATTGCTTTCTAATTTGGGGATATTTGAATAAAGCGGCTATAAACATTTGTGTATAAGATTTTTTGGAGACGTTTATTTTGATTTCTCTAGGGTAAACGTCTATGAGTGGATGCCTAGCTCATGTGATAGATATATTTTGAATTTTTAAATAAATCCTCAAGGACTTTTTCAAAGTATTTATACCATTTTACATCACTAAGAATATGAGAATTCTAGTTCTTCCACATCATCAACAATTGGTGTTTTTAATCTTTTTAAACCTTAACTATTCTAAATGGTGTCACTTTATCTTTCTATGTTTTTAAAGGAAATGAAAGTCCTTACACACTCTATTTCTGAAAATCACAATCTGCGATATTATTCTTTGGAATGCATTGCCTCTTTTAAGCCACAATCATATTAGAAGATATTAGGGTACTGATTGTGAAAGCATAACTTCCTCTCCTTGCCTCGCTTGCCCTGTCTAGGTATTCATTTTAAGAGTTTATTAATAAAATCTAGTTTTTAAAGTGAAGGAAATGGTAGGTTGATAGAATCTTTTTCAAATCAATGTTAAATCCAACTTAGAAGAAAATTTATCTTTAGTAATTCTTAGATGGAAAAGATAAATATATAATTATATCATAAAATTTCACTCCAACATAAATTTTACTTTCCTCCCAAGGGCAATTTTCTAGTGATTGTCAGGTAAAGAGATATTGAATTGAAATATCTTCCCATTCCTTAAAATACTTTCCAACCACAAATCCACAGAATCAGGTGGAATAAGACCTAATGGATTTTCAAAAATTTCTAAAATAAATACATATTACTGTTATAGTCAGGAAAAATTTAATTAAAACATGTAATTACTTCTCAGTAAGAAATCAGAGAATAACAAGAATTTCCACTTGATTGGCATTATTTCAAGAAGAATGGTTATCAAGTTAAGTTCTTATCTTTGTCCTTTTTGTTAAATGAAGACATTATTAGTTAATGAATGTAATTTATTCACTCTATTCTTTCGTATGGGGTCCATGCCAGCAAAAATAATCAAGAGACGCTTCTTGATAAAAAGTTGTAAATCAATCATTGAGAAGTATATTCTGTTTTCCCCAGTATTATATAACTTAAACTAAGTTTATTATGTATCATACAATTCAACAGCAAAACTGAACACAACCCCCCTACCTTGAAGGGTGGTTCAGCAAAAAATATCGATTCCTTTCCTGAAAGTGGTGTTGAAGTTATTGATCTTGGGGAAGACACATCACTCAGCTAAAGACAAAACAAAAACCACCAATAAATAATGCTTCTTCAAAGTCTTTTCTTCTCCAGTGCCAAAGAATGTAACCAATGCAAATAAATCTACCGTAATTATCCTTAGTTTTAATTATTTCAGAGGTAACATATTTTCAAATCATCTACCTCGAATACTTTTTGAAAGTTTGCAGAATGTAAATAACTTTGCTCTATAATTTTAAGACAAGAATCAATTTTAAAAATCTATAAAACTTCTATTGCAGGTTGAGATTATAAATGAATATGCTAACTTAGTTAAAATTGCCTATCAGAGGAGATAGTCTCTCAACTACTGAATATGCATTATTCCTTTTATGACCTCTAATTCTTTTAATAACAAACCCCAGCCTGTTTTTATTTGCCATTTCATAGATATCTGTACTTCCTCCTCAATGCAGTAATCACTATAACCTGAAATAAAAACTGCTTTTAATATTAGTCAATATTAAATGTAATTAGAAAGGCAAATATATTTTAAGTGTGTTAAGAAACCAACTAAAATTCATTTTTAACTGTCTCACCAGCTATCCATTCTCCCGCCCTTCACAAGAATTGTTAATATGAAGGATTAAGAGACTAAATTTATTACCTTAAGGAAAGTTTCTGTCATTAAGATTGAGAAATTTCCTTGAGGCTTTTAAAAAAGATCCTGTTCAATTTTTCAGTTTTGAAATAAATAAATGAGAATCAACCTTATTTCCATACTAATAATCAAAATCCTTCATACCATAATTTGTAATTTAAAACCACTAAAGAAAATTTTAAATGTGCATTTTAGGGTCAATTCAAAGTATTTCTTTTGGCCTAAACACAAAATGACAAAATTATGACTCTGCTGTTGTGTTTGTTCACTGTTGGTTTGCTTTTGTTTTTACCTGGGTAGGACTGATAGGAGGTGGTGGAGCTTTGCGTTTTTTTGGAGTTCCACTTCTTTCTGAGCTTATTTTAGAGACTTGATCATGCTGAAAGTTATCACAGTCCAAAGAATGGAAGTGGGTTAGTTAGGTTAGTAAAGTCTGAGCAAATAGCTTCATCAAACAATGAGAAAAACCTCAACAGTCCATGCACTTCTAACTTTATCAAGATCTGAAATCTGCTACCAACATAAAAATAAGCATTATACATGCTCCAAATTTTCTTCCAGCAGCCCATGCTTTAATAGCAAGAAAATAAAAAACTCAAGACAAAAATCAGATTAAGTTGGTGTGCAAAACTGGGAAAGTAGAGGATGAGAGGTCTTCTGCCACAATTTAGGACACGGAATACATTCATAGTCTAGCTTTCATCTTAATGCAAAGCAGTGGTATTTTCCCTACTTTTGCATTACTTCCATTCTCTCCTTAAAAAATATAAATATGGGGGAAGGAAGAATCTCATCTCTGAAGGTTATGAACAAATAAGTACCAGTTAGTATATAATAAATTCAGTACTGAGTATTTGTGTTTATAATTTTTTTCAAAAACTCTGATGTAGAAATAAATATAACAGCCAAACATCTTATTAATAAAGTAAGCAATAGTGACTATGTTTTTAGACAAAAACTCCAAAGTATTGGGGCAAACTTCTCAATTTCTGTGTAAACACTAATGACATTTTAGAAAAGCCCTAATCAAAATAAAAAGAAAAGTTAAATATCTTATTTTTCACTAAATATCTAACAATGCCATAGATGTAGGGTTATAATCCATGTGATATTACAAGTATTTAAAACATTGTTATTCTCAGTTTAAACCACATTAAACGTTTCATAACAATAGGAAATATTAGTACATTTCAGAAAAAGATGAATATATAAGTAGCAAGTTTAAAGTTATAAGCTTTGGAAGTAGGGTAAACCATTTTGAAAACCTTATGAATCATTTATTCTAAAGATATTTCACTCCTTATGTATTTTCAGCATTGTCTTCATCACTTTTCTAGTGGACCACAGAGTAATTTAATAGGAACATTTTCAAATTCCCATAAGCAAAGATTAAAAAAAAAAAAAACCCTCCCCCAAAGATAAATACCTGTTTTGGTTTTGTTGGTGTCTTTAAATCTATAGAGGAAAAAGTGGGGGAGAAAAAAAGAACTATAAGAACCATAATAACTCATACCCACTTTGGCGGGGGGGAGACACACACACAACATACATAATTTTTAACACTACATTTTTCTTCGAGAATATGTTTAAAAGAATAATAAAATATATCATATTGCACAAATTCCTTTACCCTTTGGGGAAAATGGAGTGGATAAACTTAAAACAACACTGGCTATTTTCTTTCACATACCAGCATCCTGAGAGATTTTTGATAATAGAAGGCTTTGAATTCCTGCATTTTCTGAGAGTTTGGAATAATGTAAGGCATTGTGTCCAAGAGAATCTACAAGAGTTAGGTCTGCACCCTTTTTAATTAAGGCTTCCACAATGTTAGAGCTGCCGATCTCACAAGCCACCATGAGAGCAGTTCTAAAGAAAAAAGGAGATGCCAAATTAGTACTAATAAAATATGAGAATGCTTTCCTGGGAAATCATTTCATTCATCTTAAACACAGGGAAAAGAAGAGTTAAGTGCTGTTAAAACTGTACGACTATCTAGGGAATTCAAAATGGAATGCTATCAAGATGAAATTAGGTAGTTGTTTTGTTTTTTAAAACCTCAGATTAATTCAAAACGTTGAACCATATTAGGTCAAATAACATAGACATAATCTTGTAAACATAATCTTCTAAATATGATCGAATTTAATATGATTGGCACAAATCTTATCCTCCTTCCACCTCAAGCATTTTATACTATCTATACATTGTTAAGACTATTTTTAAAAAGAAACCAATATGTTCACTTTCATTTAATTTTACATGAAAAGTCATAAGAATTGGTCTATGTATTTAATAATCTCATCATAGACTCAATGATGTTCCCAAAAGTCTGAGAGAAAAAAATTATAAGTCAAAACAGATTCTTGATTATCAAAAAAAGGCAGAAAATTTAAAAAGCAAAGTTAAAAAAAAAAAAACACTTTATAACAAACGATCCAAAATACACCTGTGATATTTTCAAAGACTCTCAGAATGTGGGTATCACTGAAATCCCATGATTTCTAACTCTGTGGTACCTTCCATTTTTGTCCCTGGAATTTACATCTGCTCCATGATCTAGAAGAAAGCGACAGACCTCGCTGTGGCCACTTTGTACTGCAAGAAGCAGTGGTATGTTCCCATCCTAGGAGGCAAATTCAGATTAAGATTTGAACTCAGACAGCAGATGTCAGAATTGCAAAGGTCCTTGTTCTTTCTACATTTATTCTTGAATTGTCCTGCTGGTCTTACACTTGACCTCCCCCGGCAATGATAGTCTATGTCCCAGTCAGGCAGCCACTACATCTTAGCACAACTTTTCTTATGGAATTACACTGATTGTTAGCTTTTCCTCAGGAGCCTCAGCCTCTTGGGCTGCTTGTTTCCTCCGCCATCACTCAGTCTGGTGAAGACGTGAGAGAGAGTGGAACACAAAGCATGGAAAGGCTCAGGGCACAGGTGCCACGTTAAGTGAGGGATGGTCCTGGAGAAATGAAGGACTTGTTTCACACGGCATCAGTAGGTCCTGCTGACCTTTAAGCAGTTTCTCCCGAGTGAATTACGTGCACCATGTACCCTACCACGCCTTCTCGTAAAGCATACCCTTTCATAATCTTACTAGGTATCGAAACACCACATAAATTAAGAGTTTCTCTATTATGACACATGACTAGATAAAGAGATGGATGGAAAGCATGACTGGTTTAATATGTTACACTACGACAACTGGCAATTCCTTTGCAACAAAAGAAAATTAGATCCCCAGCTCATATACAGAGGTGGATGAAGAACTTAAACATTACACTATAAAACAAATGAAAAAAAAAATACTAGAAGATTATATAGGTAATTATTTCTACAATCCTAGGATGAGGGGGGTAAGGGGACCTGACTCCAATGATACCTAAACAGAAGCTTGTATTCTGCTTTCTCTCTGAACACACCCTAGAAATGGGGTGGACAGTAATATTTAAGGTAGATGTATTCAAATAGGTAAAGGAAAAAGATGTTACAATGTATCCAATTATTTTGACATGGAGACTTTTAAAAATACATTTTCTGCTTAAGGACAAAGTGTCCTTTTAAAGTAGAATTTCAGACACATTTCCAAAAAATGATCTCTGCAAAGTTATGCTTTCTGGCTATAAAGTACTGAAATTCAGGGAGTGTGAATTTATTTACAGATTCTATATTCTCATATCCCCCATCAGGTTTAAGTGTGTGCATATCAATGCCCATACAACCTTGGGAAATTTAACCCTGTACCCAGAGCAATAGGCATGTAAATTTATTCTCCAAACAGCCCAGGGACGTTACAATATGCTAGGGGTGGTCCTGCAGCTGGAAAACCCTAACCGGGAGTCCCCAAGGTGACACATAGGCTGCCGAAAGAAAATAATAAAACTTCAACTTAGACTTATTTTTTATTTTTAAAAATTAAGAAATTAAGATTATTAATATTTAGGTTGATAGTAGACCCCATATATACTTTAGATACAAATATACACATATGGAAAGTATAATCCATGAAATGTTTAATTAATGATTTGGGGACCAATAAGGAATAATTCTTAAATCTATTTTGCAGAAGAAGATCTAGATTGAAAAGCCACAGGATGTGCCAAACACTTAGGTCTCTAAAGTCCTAGTGACTCTCAGAAGTGGCCCGCAGCGCTCTAGCAACCAGAGTCCACATCCACCTGGGCGGCCTGGTACTTACCAAATCCTTGAGGTTTATGGGGCTTTTGTGTTCGCAAAGAACCTGCACGGTTTGAAGGCAGCCCTGCGCAGCTGAAGAAAGGAAAACACAAACACCGTGGATCACAAAGCTACTTTCACACTAGGGGCATCGAGCACTGCTAGGAAGGAGAAGTTGGATCTATCCAGTTTGCATCTGTTCGCTCTGGTTGCATTGAAGAGAAATAGTGCCAGGGACGTTAAGAAAGGGGTGTCTTCAATTACCATTTAATTTCAGTATTGGCCAGACCTAAAGCCAGCAACTGCCAGTTGCCCCTAAGCAATCATTTGATTTAGCTTTTTCACAACTAGCACTAAAAGATATTTGTAAATCTAATCATCCCAGAGTTCATTGTCAACATGTTGTCACTTGAGGACAACATGACAGATAGTACAGCAAAACTTTGATAGATTAACTGATGTTCTTAACGAGCTCCAAGTCAGAAAAATCTGTATCACACGTTACCTGAAATATACAAATACTTATGAATATCTTAGTTTAAACAGAACCTTAAATGAATTAAACTATAATATTCATGATAATTTTTACTGGTTGTTTTGTGGGCAGTTGATGAATTCTAGATTTATTCCTTGGTAACCCTAGATGCTTTGCAAACTGAAAAAAAAAAAAGCCAAAGTCTAGGAATTATGACAGAAAACAGTACCAGGAAAATATGGTAACTTTAATGGCTTGAATCAGGAAAATGAAAAGTTACTGTGTCTTACGGCAGAAGAAGACAAATAAGAGAAAGAAAGTTACCTGCATAATGTAAAGCGGTTTTCCCAGAGCTGTCAACACTTTCGGCTGGGCATTTAGACTGTAAGACAAAAATAAACAAATCCATATAATAAAGTTCTGTTTTATTCAGTTCCTCTTTTTCCTGCAAAGTATGAGGGGCCTTATGAGGAAGAGTATACACATGAATGAGCCCCAGGTGCCACACTCCAGAGGCCTACAGTCTCTTAGGAGGAGGGAGACTCATCTCCAAGGAATCGTGACACAGGCAAACCGTCACCCTGTTGACACTCCATCCTCCGGGCTCCTACAGCCCTGCCTGGCCCACCGTACCCTTGTTTCCTGACCACCGCTCTGGCTCCTCCTCCTCCTTTGGACAAACATAAAACCTGAAACCTTGGTATTCCCCAATTCCCTCTCTAAGCTCTCTTCCTTGGTAATCTCATCCATACCTGCAGCTTAAAATACCACGTAGAAGCTAATGACTCTCAAACGCTATCTTGATAACAACAGTATTGTGTAAGTATCAAGTTATGATGTGCCAGGCACTGTTCAAAGAATTGTTTTAAGGCTCCTAACAACCCTCGTCAGATACTATCATTCAGCCCCATTTTCAGAGGAGGTAACTGAGGTACAAAGATGTTCATAATCTGCTCAAGTCACAGCAAGTGGCAGAGCCAAGATCTGAGCCTGGACAGGCCGAGCTGGAGCCGGTGTTCGTATCTGTACAGGACAGAGCTCGTCTCTGACCACCAGGCTTAATGACGCCCTGCTTGTTTCCCACGTCTGTTCTGATGTCTCACAGGCACCTGGACCACAGCACAGCCGAGTCTTCTGGTTCCCTGCCCCTCTCGACCCTCAGCCTGACCCTCCCGGTCACTTCATTCATTCGAGTGAATGAGCCAGAAACCACCGAGTCATCTCCGATTTCTTCTCCTTCTTCTACATTTAATTTTCCACTATGTCCAGTCAACTTCGTCTCCGAAACGTACCCTGGATCTTCCGTGTCTCTATTACGACTTAGTCTAAGGCAGCACCCTCTCACCTAGACAGCTACGAGAGCCTCCCAGTGAGTCTCCACAGTTCTGCTTCTCTCCCCTTTAACCAATTCTGTAATACAACTAGAGCGATCTTTTAAAGCTGTGAATGTCACTCGTTACTTAAAAACTCTTCACAGATCCACTCTGTACTTAGATTAATTACAGTCTCTCCCTCATGACATATAAGCCTTGTACCCTGCACCTTTCTCTTCCTTGCCTGCTTTGCCCCACGTCCACTCACTGGCTTTCTTTCCTCTGACTAGTTAGTATCTTTCCTGCCTTAGGCCTTTGTTCTTGCTGCTGTGTCAGCTTGGAATGCTTTCCCCTTAGCTCTTTGCATTGTCGCATTCGCCTCTTAAATATCACCTCCGCCAGGAAGCCTTCCCTGAACACTGCCCCTCGCTCTTCTCTCACAGTAGACCGTTAGTTTCTTCTTGGTGTTGTGCAATTTGTAATGCATATTTGTGTACTGTTTACCAAACTGCAAACTCCACCGAGATGGGGGCTGCTCTGCTTATATGTACGCAATGCTCGGTACAGTGCACGGTGCCTGGGGAACCCTTGCTAGAAAAAAGAGTGGGGGAAATAGCAGGCTGTGAGGGGAGGAAGGGAGTTCATTTGAATTTGAAGGACTTCACAAGGCTTTATTTGCGCTCCTTGACTTGAGGAGGCAGAACTTTGAAATGCTAGCCACTGGAGAGGGCAAGTATCTCTAGCAGACAGATAGTAAGAGCAAAGGTCTAGAGAGTCCAGAGAGAGGAGCAAATACTGAGGGCCCAGGGTGGGAGATGAGAGGGGTCACGTCACAAACGGCGTCGATCGCTAAGACAGGAGGTGGAGAACTGACTAAGGAAAGCAGCCCACTAGGAGGACATCAAAGCCTCAGGTTTTCACAATTATCCAGAGAGAACGAACTGCATTCAAACAGTTTGTAAGTTCGAGGACACGAGAATAGGCAACATTAAAGCGAAATGTCTGTCTGCCCTTCCGTGGTGAGAAGAATGGGGATCAAGTTACAACTTACCAGGCTTCAGCCTAATTTTAGAACAGCACAAGGAACTGTTTAAAGGCTTCAAAGATTCCAGGGAAAAACCAATCCATTTGCATAACCAGATACAAAATTACATTAGAAGCCAGACTATCTGGTCCTTGCCCATGAGGATTTCCAGCTTGTCAAGTTCATTCTCCCTTAAAATCAGAGCCAGATGCAAAGTCTGGATAGCCAAGCCAGGATGGGAATAGAGATTTAAAACACATATAAGTTAAATAAATTGAGGTAAGACCAAGGGTGCGGAGGCAGGGCACTTTCTTGGTCAAGTCAACGATTTTCATTTATGCAAAGTGTCCAGTCCCAGAGGAGGCAGATAAGAAAAGTTTCATTTCAATTGTTTTCAGGGAGAAGCCTCATAATAAAAATAATAATCATCACAGATGTTGATCTATTTTTCTTTAATTTCACTTCAAAGACCTGTTAAGGCTAAGCATTCCTGGCATTGGCGGTAGCTTGCATCATGTAATGCAAGACAAGAAGCTGTGTGATCAGCAGAGCAAGACAAACTAAAGAATGTGACCACACTTCTGCATTAGAATTGCAAAGCCAAATTAAAGCAAGATGCTCGGGTCCCAAACAGTGCTCTGAAGGCTGAGACAACAGCTCCACAGAACAGACAGTACTCCAAACACATATTTTATTGCTCTACGCTGTTCTTGAAAACAGCCAGCTTGCATTTTGACTGGCAACAGCTGGATGTTACAGTAAGGACTGCTATTGGGATTTCATTAAATATTCATCTTTAAAGATTTACTGAAGTCGTCACCCTAAGCAATCATTATAAACTTCCTGGCAAGGTTATCGAACCAGAGAGTTAGCTTAAAATTATAAAGAAGAATAAAACCGAGAACTTAAAAACTAAGAACTAAAAGCTCATCGAATTGTATATAAGCAAATAATGGTTGAAATTTGGCTTTGCAATAAGAGGTGAGTTCTACTAATTGAGAGAAGGAATACTAGGATAGTGGAGACCCTATATTGTAAGGATCTCCGAAAGCACGGGAAAAATTTTTTAAACTGACTATTTAAAGGGCACAAGTCCCTTAGAAAAGAAAATGAGGAGCTGCATAAAGGGGAGAAAAAGACTGGATTCCAGGAAGAGACTACAGTTTTGATCAGGACCCTCTTCCTTACCAGTGCAACTGCTATGGAAATAAATAATCTTCTCTTTAGCTGTCACTTCAGCTAAATGAAGCTTGTTAGGAAACCCAGGTTCTGAGTAAGTGTTTGAAGGAAGAGAGAGAGTAGGTGCGTGTGTGTGTGTGTGTGTATTTGTTCTTTCACAGATAAGGTTACTTTTTAATTTTAAAAACGACATGTTTATAATTTTAAGCTGTTGCCCTTTTTTACCTGAAGGAGCTTCTTGATGCATTCGTGGTGGCCGTTCTTGGCTGCGAGGTGCAAAGCACTGTGTCCTAATGGATTTAAACAGAAAATGGAAAAAAAGGCCACACATTTTAAATCTCTTATCTCTGTAATGAAAACAGCTATGAGGAAATAAACGGTTCTACAACAAAGATGGGATTGTTATTGAGCGTAAGGCCTCAATTTCTTATCTCTAAAGTTCAGTGTGACCAAAGCGGGGAGAACGCAGAGCATCCTGCCCACTGGATAATATTCATGGTCCCCTCCGACTGCCATTCTCTTGGGGTGTGATTAAGCTCTGGGCTGGAAGCTTGTGGTGGACTCAGTATGCAGCTTGGAAGTTCGGCTTGCAGCTGCCAGTACACACACCAAATGTCCTTCATCCACTCACACCACACTGTGACTACCACAGGCCCAGGGACCCAATAAAGGCAGCGGGGAACACACCTAACACCCACACACTTCCATCCCTACCTTTGATCTCTCATTTCTCCCTCCTTTAAATGTACACCAGGCCCTGAATGAAAATGACATAGAATTCTCAGATATTCAAATGTTTTATGTAGAAGGAAAAGAGTTATAACCACACACTATTAAAGTAGCATTTCTTTGCATTTCCTTTGTAGGACATGACCCCAGCATGCGGCTCTCTCATGTGTCTGTGGACAGATGACTTTAGGAAATTCTAATGCTACACCCGACTCCACTAATGAGCCTGAGGACATCTGCGGAGGAGGTGCTCAGGGGCAGCCCTGGGTGGTATAGGAACAGCGGACCCCCACCCCTGGGCCTTCTCAGATTGCTCTCTGCCTAGCCTGGATTCCCTCCCTCTGGGATAACCACCCAGCTTGCTCTCACGCCTCCCTCCAATGCCACTGAACCACTGTCTTTGGAAAGAGGCCTTTCGTGACCTCCTCATTTAAAATTCCAGTTCCTACCCAGCCCTTTCTATCCCCACTCCCTGCTTCATTTCTTTGTTCTTCGTAGCACTAAACATTTTCTAACACTTCCTTCCCATCCACTCCATTTTCCTCTCTGCACAGACACGCATATTTATGAAGTACTGTTCTTC